GCTTGGAAGAAGTAAGAGAATACACGCTGTTTTCGATATAACTGTAGGCATTGTCACTAGAAAAAGGCGCTTTCAGCAGATGACATCTAGTCGAGATTCGATCGTCACCATTAAATGTGTAAAAATGTACCACAGACGACGTCCATCATGAAGTGTGAGGAGACCAACATCCCAGCGGTTACAATGGTTTTATGTGATTAGCTGCTTCAATTCTCACGTTTTGCGCGCTTGCATTTCTTCTGGTAAATGTTTCACCAGTTCAGGGAGTTTTGTTCTTGAAGCGAATGTGAATTGCTACTTATTTGAATATGCCTGTGCATTTTTACTTGAGGCCCAGAATCTGCCATTGTGACTGCCGCCTTTGGAGATCCTATTTTCAAGAGAGTTTATTTCTGATAAGTAAAACAAGGCTGGTATCACAATCATTAGGTAAAGTTTAGTCTTCACACAGAATTTTAACAACTGCCAAGCGCGCCAGGGTAATCTCATAGCAAATTTAGCAAAACTATTCATGTGCTGCACCGTTTGGTTTGCATTACCTATAGGAGCGCTGCCTGCTTCCGAAAGACCCGGTAGATGATTTCATCCACTCATTCCCCCATCTGGCCATCAGCTGATTTTCCCGTAAAAATGGTCTGAAGTTTTGTATTTTCTCATTATTAGACTGAACTTGCAAGTTGAACGAAGGAAAACTCCCTCATTATGTTCGCTCAAGTCAGTGTTTTCATTTTCGGGGAAATGCAGGAATATTCGACATATCTAATGTGAAAATGTGGCTAATCGAAAAGTCGCCGGTCAGAACCCAGAGATTTTATGATTTCGTAGTGAAAATGATCCGTCAGATGACGGCATTTGCTTTTATGTTTAAACACGTCACTGAAGCTGCATTCGATGAGCCTCTGGATTGTGAATGTTGCCACTCAGACAGCTTAGTTCAAGGGTTAACAAACTAGTTCATCGCTGACCTCGAATCTAATCGACGGCATTATGCAATTGCTCCGATTCAATATACAAAGGACTGCGGAGAGCACACAGCGCAGTTGGAGATTCGTATCGCGCGTCTGGTGAGTTTATAAGTACCCGTCGTCCAACAGTTTGCAAACTATTGAACTACTTCAAGAAGTAGCGCATATAATAAATTGAGAGTTAAACAGTTCATTTCTGGTCAGCATCCGCCCGCGAATAAAATATTTTACAATGATTTTTGGGGAAACATGGAAGACCGTCCTCAGATACCACACAAACAGGATTTTGAATACGTAAAAGTTACTTCCCGTCACCTGTTCCGGATTCACCGACATTGATTCATCGTTCCGTTACTTCTAGTAGTCTAGAGGGTCGTTGAAGCTGGCTACTGTTCCATGGTGTTTTAGCAATGCATGGGTGCCAAACGCCACCATTTGTTGGGTCAGACAAAAACTTTTTCAAATGCGTATTGATATACCTCGATCCATAGACATGTAAAAAAAATTTACCTCAGTGTTATTGTTTTACTCACAGACTTCTAGCTTTCGATACCAATGCTGAGAATGACAATCTCCTGTCACCCTGAATGATATGAATTTTCTTACTGGCAGTGTCGAAAATTAAGTTTGCTAATAAATCCGTAATAGCAGATTGATTTTTATTGCGTAAATAATGTTATCCATAACGTCAATCTAAAGCCGTAAGTTTTCTTTAAATGCAAGAACAATCACTTAAATGCATTCAATTTCTGTACATTCCTTTCAAAGTTTCTTACGTAGTAAACGTTTAGGTTTAAGTTTAGTGGCTCTTTTTCCAATCAAAAGGACTTAGCATAGTGCTATCGTCGGCTTTGAGCAGACGTCACATCTGCAATGGGTCGCATTCATAGTTTTTTGTCAGAAATATACTTCCAACTCGACCGTCTAAATTGAAGTTTCACACCGAGATTACTGTCGTTTTATCGGATATTCACTGTCCTGCTGCTCTGGGCCACCTTTTGGTCTTGTCTGTCAACTCTTTTCATCATGGCGCATTTCGATCCGGATGTTTTCACCTTCAGAGCTTTTATTAGATGCCGTTCCAAAACACTTTGAGTCCAGTATGAAGCGTGTTTTGCTTCTTTCAAAATTACCCCTCATTTGCGTCAGTTGCTTTGCCATTCCCATTTTTTTTGATGGACATTCACTATCTCCTCATTGATTTGGAGTTTAAAGTTGGACGTTCAGATAATTGTGTTTAAGACCTCTACTTGTTTGGAGAATAAGCGTTAAAGCTGCTAATAAGGGGAGAAGACGCCGAGCGATTCAACAGTTATTAAAAATGAGCTCTGAGGCGATTACTACATTTTATTTGCAGTTGCATACAAAATTCGTCGTTGAGACCTGCGATACACAATTAACAGTATTTGATGCTATATGTTTGAGAATGGGTATCTGTTATGTTATTTTCTCACATCAATTTTTCCTTTATGTGTTCACCGTTCTGAAAGTTTTTTCTTATTAATCATCTTCATCCTCATCTTCCATCGCCGCTTCTCCTTTCGGGTAACGGAGGCAAACGCGTCAGACAGAGCTTCCATCGTTCCCGATCCTGTTCCTTATTAATAAATCGTCTTTTTCTTCTGGCAATTTTATTCTCCAGCTGTCCGTCCCTCTGCCAGTTTGGGTAACGCTGGCTTCGTAAATTGCATTCCAGCTGTAGTAAACAAATTGGCTGTTCGCTCTAACCCAGTGTTTCTGTTTCAGTGCGGCATTTTGCTCGGATGCGTGTTGTTGTTGATCACGAACTTTTTCACGAAGCTGTCGTGCAGTTTCCTTATGCTTGCGGCTGGTTTGACCCATCGTGATACGTACGATGGCCTTGGCATGAAGGCTTACGGGCAGGTTGGCAAGGGTTGCGTCGAAGTTGTGACAGCATTGTACGTTTTCGGTAACCTGATCGCATTTTTCGTCGTCGTCGCTGACATTACACCCAGTCTCCTGAAAGTTTTCATCGATACGGACCTGGTACTAGGTCCACTTTCCGTCACCGCTGTCGCCGCGTTCGCAATGCTTCCGTTAAGCTTGTCACGAAGCGTTCGTACTGTTTGTAAGTTCAGCCTTGCGGCTATGGTCTGCTACCTGATGCTCGTCCTACGTCTCCTTGTTCTATGCAAAAACTGCTTATTGGTCGAGCAAACGTTCGAAGAGGTAAATTATTAATTTGCGTATCATTTGCTCACTGTCATGTCGTAAAACATCCAGCCATCCAATCCATTGCTGTCCAGACTCCATTCTCTTCGAAGAAGGTAGACGGCATGATGCTTCACCATTCTCTTTTCAGATTTCGTGTCTTGTCCGTTTATATTTTGAGGCATTGCCGATAAGACATGACAAGCAGGTAACCCATCCAACGACAAGAAAATAAAACTAACGGAAAAAGGCTCCTAAACAATTGGACTTTATGCAGCAAAGTGGCACGAACTCTCCGGTAAGCGGTATTCCGTTCCCAGATACTTTGCTAGAGTCGGTAACACTTATCCGGTGTTCGAACAGCGATTGAACCGCGACCGATCTTCTTACCGCTTTGAAACCTGACCTATTCATTTGACCTCTGACAAGCACATATCAAATTTTGGTGGTTCCTAGCACTATTGGCAGTTGTAGGGTTGGAGGTTTAGCGCACTGGCCGATTCATCTATGTCTGCTTCGGCATCTGAAATTTTCAGGCGAATCAACGCGTCGCACTCTCAAGAGAACGTGAAGAGAAGTGGGTGACAACGATGCTTCAGTGCTTAGCATGCATCGGGTTATTGTAACTTCATCATCGGTGTGGATTGTCTAACTGGCCGCACACTTTTCCATTCTCTGCATGGTATCTGTGTTCGTTCATGTCATTACATTGAGTTGTTTGCATAAAGGTTTTGCATAAGAAGGTCTTCGGTTTGTGATGTCCGCTGTTTCCACAGCTTTTCAACACTTTCATTGCAAGGCAATGGTTACTATTTCGCATAAGGAAATATTCCTCTCTAAAGACAGAGCTGTGGTCGTACTTTGTTCCTCCATGTTTCATTTTGGCCTCCTGATCGACGTCTGCCGTATTTCGCTTACCACACCAGAAATTCCTGGTCTGGAATAAATGGTGTATTTTCTATCAATTTGTTTAACAGGATCCTTTTCCTAATTTCGACCTCCACCTAGGTCACTTTTGCTCGGAAAAGAATAGAGCTATTCCTTACGTGGTTCTGCCATTTCACCCTCATTGGGCGTCGAGGCCAACCCTGCTGCACGCAGTTCAACCGCCGTTTTTGCTCCTTCGTTGGAACCACTGTCTCCATGCCGTACGACAGTACTAGCCTGATGGAGGCAAAGTACATGCCGATTTTCGTGCGAGGATTTATTCTTTTCTTTGATTGTTCTCTGAAACTAAATATTAGTTTAAATCCACCATAAAACTAGAAATCCTAAACGCGTTGTTGCACCTTAAGGTTAAGTAGGTTTGTGGGATAGGTCTAACTGTCCAGAGTTAATTACATGTGGAAGAATGGGAATGGTAGAAAAGTTTCCTGCCCTGTTTCATCAAATACGGACCCCCACGTTTCCCAGCGAATGGAAGTGCTGAGTAATTGTTTCTACATCTAAAAATGGTTAAATAATCGAATGTTCCAGTTATCGCGGTATTACAGTACCGTCAACTCTCGAAAACTGTCTCCGGAATTATGCTGTAAAGGCTGAGGCAGGCAAATTTAAGGAAGCTTCGTCAAAATCGAACAGGCTTCCGGAGGGAATACTCCTGTTCCGATCAGATTTCTACTTTGTGAAAATAGATGGAAAACTTCCTCTTCCAGAAAACGATGTGCTCAGGTTTCCCATGGTGTTTCCCATTTTGCATAGACGATGTAGTGAGTCAAATGTAGCCTTAAAGTCGAAAAAAATAATTTAGCGTAAACTAGCGGTCCGGTGCTTCCATTTTGTTAATTATGTAAGAGTGATTAACATCAAATTGGTTCGTACATCAGAGACTGATAAATAAGAAACTGACTGACTCCTCCAAGAAACAAGATTTCACGGTATACCTCACCGCCTTCTTGCTCCTAGTTGTTTAATGTAGCCAACGTTTGATTTTATGTGGTGGTATATAAGGATTACTGTCTCCTGAAACATCGTTCGCGATTGTCTTGCGGATCTCTAGCGGACAAAACGATATGAGATGCATCTGGCACTGCACGAGGTTCTCAAATACCATGAAACCATGGCCTGTGTAAATGTTCCCTTTTCTAGGCAACAGTGAGCAGGGTGCTGTGCAGTACTCAGTGAAAGTGGTTAAACTCAAATTTGTTGAGTAAGTTGGAAGTTACGAATGATATGAGTGTAACGCAATGAAAATTGATCGGAAAAGGTCAAAGTTAGCGTTTGCCAGATTGCCGCCATAAAGCATCGTTTGGAATCTAGCATCTTCTGAACCAATATCTGTGAAATTGAAGACGGCGGAGGCATGAAATAGAAAAAGATCATTTGAA